TCATGAAGCGACATAAAAGGGGGTGCTGCCCGGCAGGTTTATCACCAAACCCCACGTGGCAGGCTGAAATAGCTGCTAAATAGACCTTTATGGAGGAAAAAGCTCTCCTTTTGTCCAGCAAGTCTTGAAGAAAACACAACAGCTCCACCACTGAACACTGAAAAGGGATAATCTGCTTTTCATGGCACCACTCTTCAAAAACACGCCATTTACTGCTGTAAATGGAACGAGTGGAGGAGGCTCTGGCATTCTGAATGGTTTCAATAACCTTCGGAGGCATGCCTGCTGCCTTCAAATTCCACCTTTCATGGGCCAGGCCCAGAGAGCAACCTGGTCTGGATGGGGATGGTATATCTCCCCCCGTGCCTGAGACAGAAGGTCCTTGCGGATGGGGAGTGGCCATGGCTCGTCCACCAGAAGCTGGATGATTTCTGCTATCCAGTGTTTGGATGGCCACCGTGGAGCTATTAAAATCAGTGACAGCCCCTGATCCCTCACTCTGATCAGTGTTGGGGAGATCAGGCTGAGGGGAGGGAAAGCATACAGCAGAGTTTTTGGCCATGGATGGGCCAGCGCATCCACGCCCAGTGGCGCATGTGCGTCTGACAGGGAGAAAAACAGAGGGCACTGTGTGTTTTCTCGCGAGGCGAAGACATCTACGGCAGCCCAGCCGTATCTCTGCCAAATCTGCTCCACCACCTGTGGGTGAAGCCTCCATTCTCCGAACAGTGGATTTCCTCTGGACAGGAGGTCCGCCCCCCTGTTCAGAATTCCTGGCACGTGAGTTGCCCGAAGGGAGAGGAGCCGAGTACTGCTCCACATAATTATTTCCCTGGCTAACCTATAGCTGCCAGGAACGGGTGCCGCCCTGGCCGTTGATATAAGCAACTACAGTGGAGTTGCCTGTTTTCACTAAAATATGTTGACCCCGGAGATACGGCAGAAAATGCCATAAGGCTAGGAGCACCGCGCGGAGCTCCAGCACATTTATGTGATTCAGAGCAAGTCTCTGTGACCAAACGCCATTCACTGCTCTGCCCATCATAGTTGCACCCCAACCTGACAGGGATGCATCTGTGGTCAGCGTCACCCTGGATGATACTGCCCCAAGAGGTACCTCCGCAGCGAGAGCTGTCAGGCTCCTCCAAGGCCGGAGAGCCGCGATACACGGCTGTGTTATTTTTACACCACGACTGGGATGTTGACGAGGGCACAGCTGCAGAGAAGCGACCCACCGCTGAAAATCTCTCATCATAAGCAGCCCCAAATGTACCACCGATATCACCGAGGCCATGAGGCCGAGGAGGCAGAGACAGAGTCGGAACCGCACGACTTTCCCCAGCTGAAAACGGGAAAGACAGTGAGTGAAGGATGTGATCCTCCGCTCTGAAAGTGCGACACAATAAGAGATGGAGTCTATTCTGAGCCCCAGATACTCTGTAAACTGTACGGGTTCCAAGTGGCTCTTTTCCAGGTTGATTTTGAACCCAAGCTCCGTGAGGTGATTCACTACCACCTCGGAGTCTTTGATCGCCTGCTCGCGCGATCGTGAGCATATTAGATAATCGTCTATGTAAGAGAATATTCTGATGCCGCTGTTCCTTAACGGAGACAGCGCTGCCTCCACACATTTGCTGAACACCCTTGGAGCTAAGGATAGCCCGAATGGGATAGTTTGAAACTCGTATGCTATGCTCTGATAAGCAAACCTGAGGTATTTCCTGTGTGGAGGATAAATGGCGACGTGAAAATATGCGTCTGATAGGTCGATTGTAACAAACCAATCGCCTGTGTGAATTGAGCGACAAAGCGTCTTGTGTGTGAGCATTCTGAACGTGTACTTTCTCAAATGCTTGTTTAACACACGCAGATCCAGAATAGGACGGAGCGACGTTCCGTCCTTTTTCGGGATGAGGAAATGGCGGGAGTAAAAACCCTGCTGAGCTTCTTCGCTCGGAACCGCTCTGATCGCCTGTTTGTGTAACAGGGAGAATATTTCCTCCTCCAGCATATTCGCTGAATCGCCACTGGCCACAGAAGCTAACACTCCACCGAATCTCGGTGGTTTTGCCGCAAACTGTAGTCTGTGACCATGGGAAATGGTTGACAAGACCCAGGGATGAACTGCACATGCACGCCACCGCTCCAGCCGCGCTGCGAGCAGGCCTCTGAAGACGCGGTAGCGTGAAGTCACCCCTGTCTCCCGGAAGGAGTTGGGGCTCTCCCCCTCGGGAAGAGCGTGAGCTCCCCCCGCTGGGAACAAAGACAAATTGCAGTGATTTTCTTTTGTTTTTATTTTGAAACTGGGGGGACATTCTGCCCCTGGCAAACTGCCTGGCTGCAGAAATGCACATTTTATTTCTTTTGTTACCCCCAAACCACAGTGAAGTGTCTGGTGACTCTGGGCAGTGCTTGGTGACACAGAGTGCTTAGGAGTGTTTGGTGACACTGAGCCATTTGTCCACAAGTCTGTCCTCCCTGAACTGGAGGAGGAGACTGAGAGGGTGCTCCTGGTGAACTGGAAACTTCCGGAGACCCTGAACCTTGGAGTGATTTGGTTACCCCTTCTAACACCTTCCTTCTCTTTGGGGGAGAAAAAAGGGGTGACACAGAATGCTGCAGGTGTGCTAGGCTGACCGCTTCTTTTTCCCCTCTCCGGGGTGTGACGGCTTGTTCTTTGCAGCAACTGCTGCAAAGGAATGCTTGCCCCAAGGTCTTCGGTTCTCTACCTTGGCCTGGTGGGCACCCTGCTAGCCTCCTTCTCCTCTCTACATTCTGACCCCACTCTGTCTCCCTCTCACAGCTGCTGCTGTTGCTGCAAAGCCAGCTCTTGGCACCTGCTGGGGCTGAGAGTTAGGTTTTCTGGGTAAGCAGAGGTTGAATGCTTCTCCCTCCTGCTTTCTGCGGGTGCTTGTTTCTCTCATTCTCTCCAGGGCTGGGCCAAAGAGACCCTTGGTTGGGTCATAGGCTGCATCCATGACCTCAGCCTTCTGAGCATCACCTAGGCCTGACAGGTTTAGCCACAAGGCTCTCTCACCTGAGACTGCAAGGCCCATAACGCGGCCACACCCTTGGACTGCT